TTTTTTTTTGTTAGGATCGTACACTCCCGCGTGAATTATCAGCTTAAGAGAAGTCAAAAACGAATCATTGAATGAAATTGACACCGGAATTGTAGTCAGTAATTTTACTTATTTTTCCTTTTGAGAGGTGCTGTTTATCCAAACTCCGCTTTCCCTGGTAAGAGTAGGCCAATAAACGTGAGAATTTTTTGATCAAATAAATTGTCATAGAAATGAACACCGAAAAATATTATGGAGAAACTACTACGAAGAATGATTTGTTATTATTAGAAGTGTTTCTCAAACTACTCTTCCAGAAAGGTGGCAAGGCAGTAGAAGAACCGCAGCATGAGGACGATAATTCAATCGACGATGTTGATGAGGACAAAATTGATGAGATTTTGCGAGATGCCACTAAAAATCTCGTTATCTTTTTCTGTAAGTGCTTTTTGTGGCGCCGTTGGTTTGGAAACATCCGCAACTAATTTAGAGCTAAAATTGCACCCATTTAGATGACGGCCGAGCTCAGTGCCCATCTTGTGGGGAAGCGTTATCCGAGGTAGAAGAAATCGACGACGACATTGAAGCCACTGGTTATGTGCAGGTGAGTTAAACTTTTTTTAGCTAGGTCAATACGAATCAGTGCTGATTATGTAAAGTTCTAGGTTGTGAAAACAGATGATCGCTCAGTTGCTCGGGATCTCGGAATTGTCACCTTCCCATCGCTTGTTTATTACAGAAGAAAAAATCCAATTTTGTACGATGGTTAGTTCATTGCGTTATATGAAAAAAAAGAAAGAAAAGTAGAGGTAATATTAAAGATTGATTGCCAACCCGTTCATCTTTTGATATCAGTGGTTTTGGCTGCTATCTTTTTGTCAAGAACAATTTAGCAAAATTAGGTTTTTCTTTTTTCTGTCCTCTATTTCAATTCCATTTTTATTTGAGAACAAAAAATGTGAAGTTTTGAGCCTCTATTCGCATTTCTTAATCAAATTTGCACATCTTCAATCATGCCAACTCCCATTTTTAGTGATGTGAATGAAAAACAATTACATTTACGGCCAACAATACCTCTGTGAAGTACCATCTCTATATGTAATTTGTATTTATCCAAGTGATCACGGTTTTAGAATTTAAATGACGAGTTTTTCTGTGCTTACTTTCCGTGGCAAACGTGGCCATTATGTTCCAGAATGTTATACTACAAGTACGATGTTAGCGATTAGCTTGCAAAAAACATTTTTCCTAATATGACTTCCCTGATTTTCATGTCGCGGATTAGTAAGATGTGAGCTGACCTTTCTTAGGTGAATTCAAGGATTCTGAAGAAGTGTTACGATGGTTACGATCGCATGAGGAGGTTGTCACTTGGGATCTAACTGATGACAACTTTGAGTCTCGAACTGATTCACATTCACCAGATGAGGGTACTCTCGACTGGTTTGTCATGTTGTAAGTTTTACGTCTTTCTTCCTCTATGTAGTCACTTGTTTTCCCATATTTAATGACACCTAATAATTCCTAGCTATGACGCTGACGAGAGCGCATGCAACTCATTTATTCCGCTGTGGGAGACAGTCGCACATAAGTGAGTTTTATAGTGTCTTTTTAGGATCCCACAAGTGAGTTTTGCAGTGTCCTTCTTAGGATAAGTTCTACTTAACCCGGTTGTGATTAATACATATAACGATCGTAATTCACAGTGTTATATTTGTCCGATTATTACACGAAAGCAAAAGAACGGTGACATCCGAATTATCTATTCCGAAAAAAAGTGGAGAACTTGTAATGAGTATCTCCTCTTCTGCAATGATTATTTACTACTGACTGTAAGCG